CACACACACACACACACACACACACACACACACACACACACACACCAAATAGCTGCAGCATTCTGAGAAGATTGTCTCTAGAATGGTCTTGCATCTCTCTGTTTCTAGTGGGCTGCCCTGGAACTCAGTGTTTTGAAGCACAATTAATAAAAACTCAGAGACAAAAATTGGAGTTCAACCTGAAGGTCAGAAAAGCAAAACAGTCAGCCACTGGCTCTTACTCTACCTCAGTCCGAAATGGCCATCCTGCCTCCAAGAATCTCAGAATGAGACTGAGTGTGAGAGCTGTCTCCTCCTGTTTTCTAATCCTCTCTAGTTTTGGGATTAAAGGTGTGCACCACTACCGTCTGGTTTCTAAGGCAAGCTAATGTGGCTACTGGGATTAAAGGCTGCCTGGTCTGTAAGACTGGCCAGTGTGGCCGTTTTACTTTTTCTGATCCTCAGGCAAGCTTAATTTATTAAAATACAAATGAAATATCACTACGGTGTTTCTCTCTAGGAATAGGTAATGCAGGCTCTCAAGTTAACCACCTTGTTCCACATTTTGGCTTCACCGCTTTCTGACTGTATTCTCAAGGACACTGCCAGCTTCTCTGTGCTTCCGTTCGCTCCTGTGCAAAATGAGGACACCAGTGCAGTCCGCCTCTTACGCTGCCTTTAGCGATGAAGTGCACCGCCGCCACGTGCAGAGTGCCTCGGATGACGAGCCTGGACTGGAAAAGGCTTTTAGAGCCATGAGCTAACGCTGTTATTATTCCCAGGACACCCTGGCTACTCTCTACTCTTCAAACCTCTCCCAGTTCTCTGTTTCCCTTCTGCCTAAGGATCCCCAGTCAAATCCACCCTGTAATCCTATGGCCCTTCTCCAGTCCAACTTAAAATGGAAGTTCATTTAAACTCAGACTACTTGTAAGTCCTTCACCAAAGAATCTCCCCAGGGTCTGTCTGGCATAAACCCTAACACAGACAATTCCCCCAACCCTGCCATTACCACCCTGTGTTCCAACTCTTTGTATTCTTCCATTTCAACCTCTCTGCACCACCCGAGCTGTGTTTCCCATCTATGTCCCTTGTACCTGTCCTCACCATTATGAAGGCAGTGGGGCTGCTAGCATTCTCTGGCCCTGGCTGTCCTCCCCACCGCACTGGCTTTCACAGGTTCTTCTGCCACCCACTGTCTGCCCACTCTGACTCCTACCTCTTGGCTGCCACAGTCCTGGAAATCTGTCACATCCTTCCTAAGGTAACAAATATTTAAACCCATGGGTCTCCTACCTCCCCCTTCTCCTCCAGTATTAGCACACTTCCTTCCAAAGCGCCTGTGAAGGCTGGGAGCACACACTGCTCTGAGAAACCTACTCCTGCAGGCCTCCTTCGAGCCCACATATTCAGTTCAGTATTTCTAGGGAGAAAGTGTTCTTGTCTCTATTTCACAAACTGGGCAGGGGGAGACAAAAGCAGTCAGCAAGGCTCAGAATGTAACTCTCTTAGGTCTCCACAGCCAAGACATACACAGGACTTCTTGGCACCATTCTGGCTAACTGGTGACCTTGTCTGGTATCCTCTGAATCCTGTCTCCTAGTAGGAGGGCCACCAGGACCTCTGCCACCTTCAGCTTCAGTCCAGGCTGGCTTACGCTCTGGGGACAGCATCTCAAAGCCTGTCTCAAGAAGGTCCTCCAGTGCTTCTAGGACCTTCCATTTCATCCAGCTCCTTCTGCACACCCACAATGTTCTGGTTCTGGGCAGATACCCGACTCTAAGCTTTTCTTTTTTCCTTCTCTGCACACAAGCTCTCCACTCTCCCCCAGCAAACAGCACTTTGAAACCTTCCCACCATCCCAGGACTGTGGATATTGGGCAGTGGGTGGAGCAGAAACAGCATCTTCGGGCCTTAAGCCCCACAAAGGGCACCAGTCAAAGATCCCAACACCACTCTCCTCTACTGCTCAAGGGCTGGGCTTGAATCAGTGTTCGCAGGAGCCCATAAAGACCAGAGAGCGCATGATCAAAGCACAGATGAACAATGCTATCATAAACCGACAGCAAATACAAGCGCTTCCTCTCTGGGCCCCTGAGCACCAAGCCATAACCTCTCAGAGGCATCTGCCTTGAGAACTGCAGAGTCTGGGGAAGGGACCATGCGAACATTGTTCCTTGTTTTTTCCAAAATTTCTGTAGTGATCATCTCATTCATAATTAGAAAAATATTACATTTTAATAAAAATTTTAATATAACCTGCATCCCCAGCTACTCCAGAGACTGAAACAGGAGGACTGAAAGTACAAAGCTAGTTTGTGCTACTTGAAATCAAGTCCAGCTTGGGCAATTTAACAAGATCCTTGACCTTGAAGAAAATAGCAAAAGGGCTAGAGGTGTCGCCGACTCTTTGCCTGGTACATAAACACAAGGTCCTCTTGGCCCAGCACTGCAGACAAAAAGAGCAAAGAACCAGGCCAGCCTGAGCCCCACAGAAAAAGCCCAGAAAGTGTCCTGGGAGACCTTTTGCCAGCCTTTCCTTCCTGTGGCCCCTGAACGCCATGAAGCAGTGTTGGGTGACTTTTCTCAGGAGATGTGAACATCTATCTATTCATACCAGACTGAACATGAGTGACAGACCAAGAGATGATTCCATGCAAGTCTGGCTTGGTGAACCCAGGCGTTTACTGAGCTTACCCATAGGAACATGAGTAAAGGGTTAGAAGATTGAGGGTAGCCCCGAAACGGCTGCACCCAACGTGAGTAACCACCTCTCAAAACCCGCATAAAATGTCCTTCCTTCAGCTAGCCTCTCTCCTGTCTACTTACACACACACACACACACACACACACACACACACACACACCTGGAGACCACTGACCATAGGTTGTGGCAGGATTACATACACTGGGGTGAAGGGTGTGCAGGTAGGAGCCCCTGGAATCTCAGGTGAGGGGCTAATGAGCCTTCCTCCACTCCCCACCTTTCTCCAGGGCACATTAATAGCTCTGGTCCTGTCAGAGGGTCTTATGGGTAAAGTCAGCTACTCTGATTTCTAGATGGGAATGGCCATGGCATACAGAGGACAGAGCTCCGTCCTACGCCACCAGATAAGGTCTGATATCCTGGGGTGTTTGCTATGGCACAGCCATGCCTCTCTGTGTGCCCTCTTTCACGTGTCCTCAAAGACCCATTGTCAAATGGCCTTTTCTCTAGGATGTCCTCCCCATCCCAGATAAACGTGCTTTCTCTCTGAAGTCTTAGCTGTATCATTCTCACATTTACCCACATTTCCTGGTGCACTGGCTCCCTTTAAGGCAAGGGGGCATCTCAGTATCTCCAGTCCCTCCCAGGGCAGTGTTGGACACTGTGCCAAGTGCTTTAGGAAATTTCACCAGTGATTAGTAAGTGTGTGTGTGTGTGTGTGTGTGTGTGTAAAAGGCACTATAAATCCCCTTCTGGTGCTTCCATGAAGAACCCATTGCCCTGTCCTTAGCTTTTCCTCCCCTATCTCTTTCCTCCCCTTGTCCAATCCCCCCTAACCTGAGGGAGCCAAAACCCAGTGTCTCACCTGGATAGGAGGGTGAGGAGCAGATGTATTAGGCTCTGTTGACTTTGGCCTTCAGTAGGACAGCTGGACTAGTAGCCAAAAGATTTTCTTCGGCCTGCACTGTCCAAAGCATTTTCTTTTCCTTTCTTTCTTTCTTTTTTTTTTTTTTTTTTTTTTTTTTTTTTTTTTTTTTTTTGCAGGTGGGTATGGTGGCACATGACTGTAGCCTTCAAAGTTAGGAGGCTGAGGCAAGTAGATCATGAGTTTAAAGCCAGCCTAGATAATATAATGAGACACTGTCTTAAAATAAAATAAATCCTTCATGGGCATTAGGGAATGTAGGTCTGTATTAGAGGGTTTGTCTCCGTACATGGGTCTTAGGTTTGGAAAATAAATCCATTCCAGAGCTGGGGTGTGGCCCCATGGTAGGGAGAATTCATGCCTAGCATGTTATGACAGCATCTCATACCCAGACTTAAAATGTATGGTATGTGAGCTTGTGTGCGATGGGAAAAGATTCTGCTGTAGAATTAATGAGGGGAAAGAAAGTTACTTTTCTTACACTGTGACAAAAATACCCAACAACAGCAACTTAATGAAGATTGTACTATGGCTCACCCTGATAGAGCACTGTACACCACAGCAGGGAAGACTTCAGTTGGTCCCAGGGCACCTGCAGTCAGGAAGCATCACAAGAGTGTGCCTCTTCAATTGGCTTTTTCCTGCTCATTCAGCCCAGGTACTGGTCCATGGCGTCGCTCACAGAGAAAATCTTCCTCTTTCCACCGCACCGAACCCAGTCTAGAAGCTCCCTTTCAGACAGTCCCAGAAATTTGTCTCCTGCTGAAGCTCAAACGCGAACCATCACACTCCAGCAGAAAGGAGTCCTGTTCCGAACTCCATCAAAACAAAGCACTGGCCTTGGTGGCACGTGATTGTTTCGGGTTTTGCTTGTTTTAATTTTTTAACTTTTTTTTTTAATGTGCGTTGATGTCTTTGCCTGTATAAAAGTCTCTGCACCTGCCTTCAGAAACCAGAAAAGGGACTGGAGTCACAGATGTTTGTGAGTCACCACGTAGGACCTGGGAATTGCGTCCTGGTCCTCTGGATGGGCAGCCAGTGAGCTTCAGTGCTATGCCGTGTCTCCAGTCCCATAGCACACGCCTTTATTCCAGCACCCAGGAGGCAGAGGAAGGCAGATCTCTGGGAGTTTGAAGCCAGCCTCCTCTACATAATGACTTCCAGGACACCCACGGCTACTACATATTAGTGATACCCTATCAAAAAAGAAAAAAGAAAAAACCATCCTTATCAGAAGCTTCTTTCTTTCCCACCTCTATTTTCCAAACTGAAAATTTTGCACACATTACTAATAAAGTAAGAAACTGTACACTTTCGTTTTCAAAATTACCTGCAGGGAGGAAGGCAAAAATGGCTCCAGGTTTAGGGCCCACTATGCCACGGCTTGCCCAAGTACTTACAGATGCCCCCATGGCAGCGGCTCTGGCCTCCCTACTCTGAAGCATCAGACGAGCGGCTGAGAGGCTGCGGCTGCTCCAGTCTGGAAAAGTTGCCTGCGGGTGAGCGGTGCTCTCGGTGGACCAGGATCTCCCCACCCCCACCCAGCACACCCAGAGTTAAGTCTAGGCCTCAAAAATTCCCAGAAGGGATTCACAAAGGGGTTTTCCCCAGACTAACAGACACCTCATACATATTTGTCACCTAGCACAGATGTTTGCCTGGGGGTGGGAGCACTGGGAGACAATGCAGGTACACAACTTTAGGGTAACAGGTAGCCCCAAACAAAGTCAGACACGCCAGGGCGAGCTAGAACTGGGATGCCCAGGAGGCCTAGATTTATTCTGTGTTCTGAAGTCCCTTCTGTCGTCCACGACGGCATCTCACAGAGCCTGAAACTCCCCTATCCGCCCAGCAGGCGGCGCAGCGGCTCTAGGAGCACCGGGGTGGTGCGAATGTGTTGCGGGTCTAGTTTTAGCACTTTGCAAGACTGTTGTTTGCCAGGCGTATTTCCTCTACTACCCAGTTCCAGGAAAACATGCCCAAACAAAAGTGCCCTGCTTACTGTGGGACTCTGGGAAGGCAAAGACTTGTGCTCTACATGCCAAGGGATAGCCGAAACAGATGAGCTACTTTTAAAAGTACAAATATATGGATAGGATCAAGGTCTGAAGTGACAGTGCTGGAGAAGGTCCCAAACCAGAGGTTCTGCGTCCTGTCGGTGCCGAGGTTTCCTCCACCCTCTCCACCCAGCTAGCTCCTGCTTTAGACTCGGGCAGTTAGGGGGCGCCACGTCCCTGCCAGGCTGGACCCAGGAAGATTGAACCCGCCAGGCGGGAGCTGCGCAACGCGCGACCCACACGTATTCGCTCAGTGGCAGTCAACCGAGGCGATCCGGCCCCAACGCCGTCTCTCCCAGAGACAATCTTGGGCTATTTTCTCTAAAGTTAAAGATGCACTACTGCCTAACCCCTCTGCGAGTTTCTCAGCAGTCACACGTTTACACCTTTGTAGTGAGTGGCCTCACTCAACAAACTCTGACCGGCTACTGTTCGCGCTGGCGCTGGCAACGCGACAGAGAACAAAACAAAACCCTGCGAAGCAAAAGAACTAGGAGGGGGTACTCGCACCACGGGGAGCGCGCGGGGGACCTTCACCTATGAGCAAAAGGCGCGTGAGGCGCTTCCCAGGGCTGCTGATAAACTTCGGACCCGGCGGGAGGGGCGGGCCACACCTTGGATCTGCGTGGGGCTCCGGCACGTCGCTTAAGGCAGGTGTGCTCGCAGGTGGCATGTGCTTGTGCAAAGCCGGACCCTGACCCAGGAGCGGGATTGCAGGGCGCGGCACCTAGTTGGAGTTGGTAAATGTTTATGGTGAGAGCGACAAGTAGGGCCCACCTCCCGGAGGAGGAGGAAGGTCACAGCCCTCCTCAACGCCAGGCTCCTCCCCAGCAGGGTCAGCACCGGACTGGCCGTGGCGTCCCGGCCCGGCGTAATTACAGGCTCTGCCGCCAGGCCTGGCCGTAAAAAACCAGGATGAAACGTCCAGGAAACCCAGGAAGCTGGGCCAGAGCCGGCAAAGAGCCCCGGGTCGGCGGCTTGCTGTGATGCGCAGCCGCAAAGAAAGGGGGGAGGGCAAGAATTAAACCCCTGCCCCATCAACCCTGCAGGCACACAGCCACACACGCAAACTATCAAACACTCAGCTTTCAGCTTTCCAGCTCCAGGAACGCACTCGAGCCTAATCAAACACCTGCCCGTCAGCTCCAACCCAGGCGCAGACGCCGCCAACCCCTCTCCAGACAGCTGTGATTCGAGAGGTGAATTCCTGCAAGGTTGTTTACATGGAGCGGGGGAGGGGGATCTGAGCCTGGTAGTGAGGCCGGGCGGACTGGAAGACCCAAGCCTGACTGAGCCAAACACAGCAACCCAAACTACCCCTACTCCAGCCCACCCTCGCTGCACGCCCAAAAACCTTTCCCCTCTTCTTCACACACTGTTCACAAACATTAGCATATGTATGCCAGGCGTTTCACACGCTTCCGCACACACTCACAATTGTCTTTACACCTACCCGCCATCACACGCATTTACACACGCCATATGTACATGTGTCGGTTAGTTTGTCACCCTTCGTGACCATATTCCCACAGTCCATCTGCAACAGCGCATTCGCTCGAGGCACACGTGAAACATATAAACAGGTCATTAGTGTACTTTAGCGCTATTAAAATATTAAGACCCTCGTGAGCCCAAGGGTCCTATCTGTTCCTCTCGCACAAAGTACTGGTGGACTGAGGCGCCCTTAGCCCTGGCCGCACACGTTACACACTTGATCACACACAGCGTCGCACTTTATTCCCGGCATCTAAGCGATGACACAATCTCTTGAACAAAGACAACATTGACAAACCCAACAAAAACAAACAGCCGCGTCTGTGTGGGGAGGGGCAGTCAAGCGCAGAGTCTGGGCATGGGGGGGGCAATCGCGAGAGAGTGTGAGAAGGCGAGTGCGCGGGCCTGGGTGTGAATCTCGCGAAAAGTGTGGGTATAGCCCCCACCTCGCACCTTGGCTAGATTGGCGCCCCGCGCTGCAGAACCAGGTCCTGAAGCCGCTGATTCCCAGACCCACATGAGTGAGTTCCCTTTTCCAGTTTGCGTCTACGCCGCGCCCTGTCCCACAAAATCTACAGAACCTCCCACAGCCGTGTGCCCCCCCCCCCCCGGTAAGCGAACACGCAGCTAAGGGGAGATCTGTGCAGACCCCAGAGCGCGCTCCGTTCCAGGGGCAGGGAGACCAACCCCCGCCCCCCCGACTCCGATCGTTTTCCCATCCTCCACCTCCCTAGCCACCGAGCCCTGGGGCAGCGCGCGCCGGGCGGGGCGGGGG